ACCTCTGGCAAAGTTGAGAAGTTGCCAGAAGGAACCAAAAAGCAATACTTCTTCATACTTCTGCCTCAGCCACGGTGTTGGGACTTAAAGGAACATTGTTTGGTAGCTCTGTGGCCATTTTGTGAGGTACGCCTAACTTCAGGGGAAAGAAAACACTGTGGATGAATCCTTGGGAATTCCCACCGTGGAGTTGGAAAGGTGCCCGTGCTTCATCCTGAGGGACAGAGAGCAGCTGAACCAGGTAAGCCACTGTTAAATTCGGGGGTGATGTCCACAGCCACCAAGGAGGGCTGCCCCAGCTCTCTGTAGTCCGTTTTGGGGCCTGGCAGAATGCTGGCAGGAAATTCTTACATTTCCTAGCCTCGTGACTGTTTCACTGTATTCTTTCAGTTCTGCTTGAGAAGGGTCTATGTAAGCGTCTAGTGGGCCAGTGAATCCTGTGGAATCAGCCATGATTTCATTAGTAAGTTATATGACAGTGGCCATCGACATGCAGAACTATATCCAGTAAAAATAACCCTGCAGCTGACAGTTGGGCTACCTCTCTTAATCTGGATTCGGAGAATCATCTTTTTCCACATTAGGACTTTTCATTGTTAAAAGAGACTTCTTTTCCTCCCATATTGATCCTATTGGTAGAATAACTAGAATATATCTAAGAGGTGCAGACTGACTGGCTTGGAGTGAGGGGCCATCTCGAAAATTAACTCTTGACAGCACAGGCATCAGGATGATAGAGATGCGTTAGCACCGATCTCAGGAAAACTTGGCAACTCTAGTTGGAAGCCTGGTCGTTCTTTCTGTTGCTTCCACTCCCCAGCCAAGCCCGGCTATGTCCATTTCCTTGGCTGGGGATTTCCTTTGAACTGTTAAATTTGCTACTTACTTCACTTTAACTCAGAGGTTGTAAACTGGTGGCTCACAGATGTGTTTTATTTAGCCTAGTGTTTAAAAAATTATACACATATACTATGAGTGTTGACATAAAATTTGGTTTCTGGCTTCTCTTTTAAAAAGTGACAGTGAGGATCTGATAAAGTTGGTGCATGGTGAGAATCAGCTGGAACTCAGTAGATTGGAAAATGTGCCTTTAAGGTCACCGTAGTCCTTGTCAGCTACCATTTGTCCCTATTTTCTTTAATAGTAGGGAAATAGGTCTCTTACCTGCTGCTTTATCAAAAGTGGTGATACAAATTATGGGCCAGGAGGGCATGTGCCCACTTGACTTACTTAGGTAACCTACTGTCCAGACACTTGAGCTTACAACCCTGTTTTACCCCATTTTCTCTCCTATACCCAGTTCATTACTTTTCCTCCCAAATCCCTAATTGCTTTGCAGGCACTGCAGTTACCATCACTGCCCACTTGCAGGGTGACCACGTGCTGTTAAGGTATGACTTGGGCAACCATCATTATGATCTAGTGGGAAATCATTCTGTAGTCGTGGCATCAGAGGGCCAGCTGGGCCCCCTTGGTGGTAGTGGCCTTGCCCAGCCTGCCTGCCAGGGCTGGGCCTTACCTAGATGCTCAGGTCATGCATCCTACAAAACTCCTAAGAGCGATTCTGCAGTCTGAAATCATAGCGGAACTACTGTAGAAGTATGTTTGCCTTCTTTCTCCACTGATCCCTGTGAACCACTGGTTCATGGTGATAGGTTAACCTTACAGGACCTGGTTCAGCTGCTCTCTGTCCCTCAGGATGAAGCACGGGCACCTTTGCACTTTGCTTTCTCATCTGTTGCCCTGATTAAATGAAACCTTCAGAGCCAGCTTAAATGTGGATGTGGCTCTGTTTACAAGCACAAAATCTGGGTGTGACTGAGACACTGGAAGGGAAATGAGGCTGAGCAGCCTCCCCACATCTCCACATGTGCTGTGCCATGCCAGGGTCTGCCTGCCCTGACATCCCCAGGGAGCGATGACCAAGCCATCCCCTAGACCTCCCCTTCCTCCTCCAGGAGGAACCCACCTCCTCTGCCACTTCAGGAAGACCAGAGAGTTCCAAGGGCGGGTGTCCTACGTGTGCTGCATCTGAGAGCCGTCCCCGGATTGTGGCCAGTGTGTGTGGGCAGCTCAGAAACCCCCAAACCCCGGGAAGCAGCTATGTCAGCAGCCCCGGGCTCATCCTTGGTGCAGAAAAAGAGATCGACAAGGCAGAACCTGAGTGAACCAATGTCATGTTCACATGGAAGACAAAAGACAATATCCAACACATTCTAGAACAATTCTAGGGAAAGGACAGGTGTGGCTCCCTCACGGGCCTGTTCTAAACCAGTCTCTCTGAAAGAGTGATCCAGACAAGACTACAGAAACCCCTAAACAAAATGTCACAACCACCCCACATCTGAAAAGCAAAACGAGACACCGGATATTGACTTTAACATATAAAAATACTGTAACAAAATGAAATACAAATATATATTAGAATCTGTTAAGTATTCTGTATAAAGAGATACTTTCGCGGTTAGGCTAATAGCGGGCAAAAAAGGAGACGAGTCTGGCCTTTTCTGACGCCTTCACAGGGAGCTGGGGCTACTGGCCAGTGGTGATGGCAGCCACCCCAGGACTTGCCCTGCTTGTGTCTCTTCAGCGCGTGTTTAATGGAGAGAGCCAGTGGTGACATCAAAGTGAACGAAGGTCTTTACTGAAGGGGTGACAGGTATGGAGGTGACTTATCAGAGATGATTTTGCCAGAGCCTTCTCCTGGGCCTCAGTGTGAACAGGCAAGACGAGTGGTGATCCAGCTCCTTAGCAACTTTCAGGTCGGTGGTTGAGGGAATGTTGATCCTGGGACACATAGCACCTTGCTGCCCCCACTCTTGGGGTGGATCCCAGTCTTCCAGCTTGAAAGCGAGGGAGCGTGGGGCCAGGCTGGGTTGTGGGGTGTTGTGGAGGGGTGGGTGGGGGCTGTGGCCAGCTCACAGGACACTCCCTGTGAACAGACCCCTGTATTCTGCCCTCCCAACCCCACAGCACTGGGAGTGCAGGACTCCTGGCAGCCGTCACCCATCTGCCGGTGAAGAGGCTGCTGCCGGTTGGTGCCCCTCAAGCCCAGGGAGCCTCATCTACTCCAGGGCAGTGGGGAACGGTGATGGCCAAAGGAAGGTAAGTGTCTCGGGGCCGGTGGTCCCAGAACACCTGTGTTCCGTGCGAGGAGTGAGCCAGCTACGCTTGAGCTTTCCTCCATAGATCAGCACCTGCCTCATGCTAGAGCTGCTCTCCACGGTCCCACAGAGGGAGGCTGTGCAGCCCTAGGAGAAGCCTCTCAAGGCCCCAGCTGCTGTCCGTGGAGGGGAGGGGCACTGCAGCCTTGCTCAGAACTATAGTAGAGCCCGGTCCCTGGTGAAGAGTAGATCCAGCCATGAAAACACCTCTGCAGTTGGGCAGGGCAGGATCCCCTTCACATTACAGGGCTTCCAGGACTCAAACTCACTGGCCGGAGTCCCAGTGTAGTGGAACATGCCAGGCTTCCTCAGTTGCAAGGGGCTCCAGCCCTCTACTGCTCAGTGTCCAGAGCTCCCTCCCCACACCGCCCATGGTGGCTGAGGATACGGGCACAAGACCACCTCAGCCACACCACAGGCTGCTCCCCCAACCCTGTCTTCTGATTGTAGATGGAAGGGGCCAGGAAAGGGATATGCTCACTCCCCTTGCCCACTGGGGTCCTCTGGGGGCACACTGTCTTGGGGAGACATCTGGGTAGGAGAGTGTGACCTATCTTCTAGCCAGTTTGCCACTTATGCTCAAAGATAAGCTTTTTGTGTTTTCATTCTGCATGGAAAAGGATTTGTAGTCACGTGGCCACATAGTGAGTGACTCAACACAGAGTCCTTCCTTGCAAATGCCTAGGATGAGCAGCTCTAGCCTGGGCCACCGTCTGTGGTTGGAGCCCTCGGCTCATCTCATCCCAAGCATGTTGGTTACTCCTGTGATGCTCTACAATTAGTTCGTATCTGTCCATGAGAGCAGCCCAGTACCAGCAGCCATTCGGCACGTAAATATTTGTTGATGTGATTAATGAAAATGGATCTAGCTCCTCCAGCCTCCCTTCTGGAGCCACAGTGGGAGGGTCTACATAGCTTCTACCTATGTTCAGTCAAACCACCTCACCATTTGATAGCTGAGGAGACTGAGGCCCGTGGGGAGGAAGTTGGCCCAGGGTGACGGAGGCAGCAGAGGTTTCCTGGTGCCTGGACCACTGCTCCCTACTGGTCTACACTGTGAGGGGATCTGAACCCAGTGTCCACGGGAGGAGACCCCTCCCTGGCTAAGCAGCCTAGCCCAAACCCCCTTGACCCTGTCCCCCTGCCAGTGGCTTGCCAGCATCTTGGGGCTGAGATAGCCCAAGACCAATACCCTTTTGGTGGTCAGTGTCTGGATGTGGTGGTTATTCAGCTAGAACCAAGAACCAACCTCCCCCCTTCCCACCATCTTCTCTGGTGGGATCGCCACCCCAAACAGACCCAGTGGGCGTTTCCTCCACCTGAGAGCCCCATCCTTGAAGCTACCATGGTCAACCCATAACTTCAGGATTCAGAGTTCCGGTCCTAAGACCCAACCCCATCCCCAGCCTCATTACCCATGGAGCAGTAGCTGCAGTTCTCCTCAGCCCAGGGGGCAAGGGTCAGTCCCTTCCTGGCCAGCAGGAGGGCCCTTCCCCTCTGCAGCCTGGCCTACTGCTAGCACATGCTGCAGCAGCAAGCAGAGCAGAGAGCCAGGCCGGCTGCCCCAGGGGAGCCTTCAAGGTTATCTGCAGGGGGCAGGGGGCAGGGGGCAAGGAGCTTCTGAGGCCAGCATGGGCCACAGGTGAGAGGGGAAAGCTGGCTGGGGAAGGGGCCAGTCCCTTTTTCAGACCCAAGTAGTAGGCAAGCAGGAGGTGTCACCATTCTGCACTTCTTGGCCTGACCTCAAGCACACATTCATTCAACAAATATTTATTAAGCGCCTATTTGTGCAAGGCACTTCCGGAGAGGGCGGCCTGCAGACCGGGCCCCGCCCCCGCCCCCAGCGCCCGTGCTCCAGGAGGTCGGCGCCGCCCGCAGGAGCCCCATCCCTGCTGCCGGCCACCGAGCTCCGCTGCAGCCGTGCCCCCTCCCCGTCCAGCCAGGCGCTAGGCACAGACGCCACAGCCACACTTGGTGGGCTTCTCCACCTCCTCCGCAAAAGAGGTCCCGTCGCTGCACTCAAAGGTGAACTTCCTCCGCTTCAGCCGCAGGCCCTGGCAGCAGCCCTGACCTGGACATGAGCCCCGGCACTCCACCCACGACAGCGGGCGCGTGGTCTGGCAGATGGCATAGCCCCTCTGGACCTGGTGAAAGTCCCGGACAGGGGAGCCCCGGCACTCGGACTCTGGATAGGACAGACACCAAGAGAAAGCCTCAGGGCACACCCCGGGGGTCCACGCTGGCCCAGGGGGCAAGGCAGGAGGAGGAGGAGGAGGAGGAGGCAGCTCCAAGCACCAGGGCCTCTAGCGCTCAGACTCCACCTCCGTCCCCACCAGACATGCACATGCACGAGCTTCCTCCTGGGCCCACAGTCCAGTGAGTAGGAAGGAAGAACTTTCTAGCTGCCAGGAGCCTCCAGGACAGATTGGGCTGCCAGGTAAGTGGGCTCCGTGCAAGAGGAAGCTGGAGGCTGGAGTCTGGGAAGGCAAGAACAATAGAGAAGGAATTTGTGCCAGGAGCAGGGGGGCCTTGGGGACCCTGAAGGTGCTTGAGTTCTGGACTTCTCCCGTTCCCTCTGCCCAGCCTCAGCAGTCTCTATGCCTGCAGAAGCATCTTGGTCACAGGGGCCAGGGAGGGCCTGGGAAAGAGTTCCAGTTCCCAACCCTCAGACTTCCTGCTGCTCCCAGGGGCACAAGGTAATGGGGCCAAGATGTGGGGGTTCGGGCAGGAGCTGTTACCCTGGGCAGTCCCTTCTGTAAGGAGAGACCCCAGCCAGAAGGGGCACTTCCCCGGGTAAGGGGGGCTTCAGGGCAAGCTGCGCCATTTATCTGGTCATGGGGCTCAAAGCCCAGCCCCATAGCGGTGCAGGAGAGGGGAGGGGGCACAGAGGGGTTGCCAGGTTGGGAGGAGGAAAAGTCAAGTCACTACTGCAAGTTGTGGAGAGGGCATGTCAGGAGGGGGGCCCCTGACCTTGCTCACACAGCTCGCCCGAAAAGCCAGGGTCACACACACAGTGTGCCCCCTTGGTGGCCAAGGCCTGGCAGTGGCCATGCAAGCACTGCAGGCCCCCACAGGGGTCTGCAGGTGCCCCAGCCTGGTTGCACAGAGCCCCTGAGTACCCATCCTGGCACTGGCAGCTGTAGGAAAGAGCATCGAGGGGCACACATTTTCCATGGACACACCTAGAGGGGACAGAGAAAAGGTGCTGTGAGAATAGGCTGGAGCCAGTCCAGTCCTAGGGTACCCCACAACCCCAGCCTTGGCGTCATGGGATGTTATTCTGTGCCCAAGAGCAAAGGGGAGCAAAGTGAGATTCTGTGTCCCTGGGGATGCCTTCCTATTAATACAAACTGAAAATTAGAAAAAAATAAAACCCTGTGTTGGGCCACATGTTCCAGTCTGGGGGTTTAAAAATATAGTACATGCAGCAGCCCTCACCCTGGCAATAGGAGCTTGCAGGGAAGGGAAGGAAAGGGAACCCACAGGTGGGGCAGGGGGTGAGGGCTCCCTGAACCCAGCCCAGGCTCACTTGTGGCCATGGCAGGGGCCGTCTGCTGGTTGGTCGCAGTGCAGGCCCCCCCAGCCGGCCTCACAATGGCACACGGGCCCCGGAGCGGCCCTGGGCTGGCAGATGCCGTGGAGGCAGTAGAGCTTTCGGCAGGGCTCACAGCCTGGCACCACGCCCGGCTTCATCCGAGTCTTGGTGAAGTCCTGCAGCTCGTTGTTGATGTATAGGTTTCGGATGCAACCATGGAAGCTGGTGCCGTTGAGGATCTGCCACAGGCGGAAGGCGGCTGAGTTCACATCCACTGGCATCCCTGGGGTGGGCAGGAGGGGGCAGAGCTGGGCCGAGTCAGGCTCAGACCGTGCCTGGCACTCACCACTGAGGTCCACTGGGCATCTGCACAGTGTTCCCTCCCACCATCGGCCCTTCTGTTTCTGCAACCCTGGGCCAAGGTCCTTTGCCACATTGGAGGGTCCAGATTCCTTTCCCGGAAGAAATAGAAAAGCTGCCCCCTCTATGACCAGAGCCCGGGGGTGCCAGGCCTAGCTGTAGCCAGCTGACAAAGAAAACCCTGGGTGCCTAAGGTCTGGCTGCCATCATCCAAGGCTCCTTCCTACCCTGTGGGACACCAGCTCTTACCTCCTTACTCCAAAAGCAACAAAGAACCAGAGCCTAGAGCTTTGTCACCTGCTTTTGTGGTCATCACAGCAACCCTCCGAGGTTGGAGAGGCTAAACCCCATCTGGTACTCAGTGACTTGCCCGAAATTGTACGACTAATAAACCGCAGAGCTGGGATTAGAACCCAGGGTTCTCTCCTTCACAGCTGCCCAAAGTCTCGCCAGGGCCCTCTGCAGCACTGAGAAAGCCCCACCGTTGCAGAAACCTGACTTGTCTGGACCTAGAAATGTTTGCCTGCAAAGCACAGAAAGCTACCTGGGAGGTCCTCAGCTGATGCATGGACTCTGAGCCTGGGCCTCCTGCAGCAGCTCTGAGCCTCAGAGGGCTCCAAGACTGGGAATGGACCCTGAACACTTGACAAGTCCCTCCTGGCCCAAAGCCAAGAGGAAAGGTACCCACTTTGGAAGACAGCTGGGAAAGGTCCAGGGTCCCCTCAAGGACAGGCCTCAGACTAAACCCAGGTACCCATCGTTCTTGGTCAGCCTGGGCTCCAGGCTGGGAAGGACAATCCACCAGTGGCTTGGGATACCCCCACAGTCCAGTGGCCTGGGCACCAGCCCTCCTGGCAAGCCTTAGGCCAGAGAGCAACAGAAGCCCCACCTGGAATGGCTGTCCCCATCATGTGAGCCAGCCACAGCCTCTCCTTGGGCCAGGTCCTTACCTCCCACGTAGAGGGGGGCCTCGCTGTTTAGCGTGTAGTGTTTGCCAAAATTGTCCATGGTCATGGGACTGCCTCCATCGATGGAGAGATTCACCATCTGGTCAAAGGTGACCAGCTCAACAGTATGGAACTGCCCATCGTTGATCGTCTCAGCACTGGAAGAAGATGGGGTGCCCCCACCGCAGGGAATAGGCTTCAGTTCGGCCCATCTCTGCCTGGGCCCTTCCCCAGAAAGGCCACTGGTACAGCAGCTGTTTCCCAAGGAATAACATCTCTAAGGGAGGAGGGTGTGTAGACCCTGTGGCCTAGGGCCTGGTCCCTCCACCTTCCTTTCTCGGGACACCCTGGGGAAAGCTGAGCAGTTTGGGGCAGGGGTTTCCAACTTACCATCTCTCCCTTCCCACGAAGGAGCCCCCAGTGAGGAGGAGGTGGGATAGGGAAGGCTGGGCCCACTGCTCAGGCCTCAGCCTCAGCCCCAAGCTAGTCCCACTCAGGCAGCCCAGGTCCTGGTGGTCCCGATAACCACCTGCTCTTGGCCCGGGAGACCCTGAGGGAGGGTGGGGGGGCATGATGGAGCCTTACCTGTAGATGGCAGAGCTGGGGTAGCTGCCTGGGTCGTAGCTGACACGCACATGACCCTGGTACAGCTCCACTGCGATGTGGTCATTGTCCCCATTGTACAGCAAGATCCCGTTGTCCTCCGCCGTGGAGACCTGAGGGGCGAGGGCAGTCTGTCCCACCCCAGCCCACACAGCAGTGGCACGGGTAGGTGGGGCAGATGGAGGACCCACATTTGGAAGAGGAATGCTGTGTGCAGAGCGGTCCTCCCCTGACTACCCAGCCTGCCCAGGGGACACCTCCTCCAGGGGATGCTGACAGAGGCCAATAGCCCCTGGGTTCAAATGCCATCCACTGCCAGGCTGGCCAGGGCTGCAGAGAGAAAGCAGATGGACCAGCTGAGGCCTGGAAACTGGGTGCTGGAGGGGCAGGTAAGAGACCTTAGGGCTACCTGCCCAGAGAGGAAAGTCTGATGGCTGTGGGGTAGCCTGTTCTGTGGGCCTCTGGGAACCACCAAGAGAACAAGTGTAAGGAAGGCTAACAGCCACGACCACCCCAGCCTGGAAGGAGCCACTCAAGAGGTAGTGCCTGTCTCTGGAGCCGTGCAAGCAAAAGCTAGAGTTACCTGGGGAGGGAGATCGCTCGCCGATGCTGTAGGAACCCTGAGCCTGCCTTGTCCCTCTTCCCCCATTTCTTCTGGTGAAGAGCCTGACTCCCTGGTCTCATAGGGCTGGCGCAGGGCCCAGGCTGGGCCCATCATATCCCCCCTCTCGCTGGACTCTGTGGCCAGGCCAGGGATGGGCATATGGCGGAAGGCAGGCCAATCAGAGATCTGCCCTGAGGCCGTTGATTGCTGTCCTACCAGCTGACAGGGCAGAGCCTGCGACAAAGGGGGGGGTGGGCAGCGGGGCAGACTTCCCCTAAGGAGGGGCCTGAGGCCGTGGCTGAGAGGGTTTGGGGGAATTTTATGTTGTTGAGCAGTTAGGCTAGCTGCATTCTCTCAGTGTAGACCGTGAACGTGGGCAGGATTTGGGAGAGGTGATGAAATAGGGGAGAGCATAGTGAGCACGCGGGGAGGCTGAGGAGCTCTGTGAGCAAAGGAGAAAGAGACATGGCTGCTGGGGTGGGGAATGCAGGAGGAAGAGTGAGCTCGCCAAAGAGGACACACAGACTTTTATCATCTTAATGTGATGTGCACCCTCCCCTCCTCTCCCTCCCCAAAAACTGTTTGGCAAACAGTGCCCTTCAAACGGGATGTGCTTTTTGCCCTCCACAAACTGATGTTCGGAGATGAAATTCAAGACAGGAAACAGCAAAATAAGGGCCCCAGGGCCAGGAGGCTAAAGATACAAGGCCAGAGCTGAAGCCTGGGGCCAACTCCGGCCGTGTCCCAGCCACGTGGAGAGTGTGCAGCGCTGAAGGCTGGCGCTGAGGAGCCCGTGAGGGTGGCAGGAGAGGATCCAGCTGCCCGAGACCACTCCCCCACCCCCTTCCCTGATCGGAGATTGCTTTTGTGACCCAATAACCTTCCCACATCTGCTGGACCCATATCCAAAGAGTTTTGATTACACAGGCTCCTCCCAGTTCTCCGGGGCAGGGATGCCCCCCCACCCCATTGCTCTGACCTGCCCGACTCCCCTTTGCGACCGGGCACCCTGGGCACGCACCTGCAGCGTGATGTTGGCCCGGGGCCAGTTCTGCAGGTCGGTGAACTGCAGGTAGGTGTCCCGATCCACAAAGTTGACACTGAGCAGCTTCTCGCACTCGGGGCCGCCGAAGCCTGGGAGGCACTGGCACACAGGCCCACTGCCCTGGTCCACGCAGTTGGCCCCGTTCTGGCACTCAGTCCCCTCGCAGGGGCTTCTGGGGGCGGGAGGAGCCTCACAGAACTGCCCGCTGAGAGGGGAGGAGATACAGGTCAGAGAAGGCCGGGCAAAGGGGCAAGGCGACAGCTTTCTCTCCCACAGTCCTAGAGAGAAATTCGCTGGACGTCTTGGGGAAGTGGATCCTTAAAGCAACAGAAGATGCTCCTAACGAACACTTTTCCCGAGAGAACTAGGAGCCGGAAGGATACCGCAAACAAGGTGAGAAACCGGTGTGGTCCCTGGAACAGCATCATCGCTATCCCCTGGGCATTTGTCAGAGATGGAAAACCTGAATCTGCTTCTTAACAAGATCGTGTGCAGATCAAAGTTGGAGAAGCACTCATGGCTCACGGCAGTCAAGTCTGCTAGCAAATTTTACTATTGCCCATCTTACAGGAAAAAAACAGAAAAAAGAGTGAAGACGCAAATGACTAAAGAAATAAAAGAGGGGACAGGACTACCAGCAGGGAGTTCTGACCCACACTACACCCACAGCACCAGTGTTCACAGCAGCCGAGAGCAGAAACAACTCAAATGCTCTCAGCGGATGAATGGATACACGAGTGTGGTCTGTCTGTACAATGGAATATTACTCAGCCACAAAAAGGAATGAAGTTCTAATGCATGCTGCCACATGGATGAAGCCCCAAAACAGGATACCAAGTGAAAGAAGCCAGTCACAAAGGACCACAGATTGTGTGATTCCATTTAGAGGAAATATCCAGGATAAGCAACTCTATAGACACAAGTACTAGATTATTGGTTGCCTGGAGCTGAGACTGGGGTGGGGGGTGACAGATAAGAGGTATGGAGTTTCTGTCTGGAGTAATGAAAATGTTGATTATGGTTAATAGATGCACAATTCTGGTAGTATACTACAAGCCACTGAATTATATACTGAAACTGGGTAAATTATAGGGCATGTGAATTATAGCTCAATAAAACTGTTAAAAAAAAAAAAAAAAAAAAGACCCAAGCAGAGCCTGGGACGTGGGTGTCCAGAAGGAGGGCAAGTACTCCCCCATCCCAACCTTTCAGAGAAGTCCAGCTGTGAAGATAAGTGACCTTTATGCCAGAAAGTGTCTTCAGAGAGGTGCACTGGGCAGGTATGTGGTGGGCACTGGGCAGTAATCTGTACCCACCTCCCACTCCCTCCACCAAACAGTTTAGGAACCCCGTGCTTATGGTCTGAGTGATTAGGGGACTTTCCCCAAGGCCACACAGCTGGGGATGGCACAGCCACGGTTAGAACCCCGGGATCCAACTTCCAGACGAGGACCCTTACTCCCTCCCTTCAGCTATGCTTGGGGGCTCCTGCCAGCCCCGGGGCCACTCACCTGTAGCCCTCCGCACAGAGGCAAGAGTAGCTGTTGACTTCGTCCACACACTGGGCCCCGTGCCGGCAGCGGTGGTCCCTGCAGTCATCCTGGTTCTCACTGCAGTTGTCACCTGCGTAACCTGGTGCACACTCACACCTGGGAGGCGACCAGGGGTGGGGGGCGGTCAGTCCCTCAGTCAGGAGCCTGTGGGGTCGGGGGCCATGTGTGGACAGAGAACCCCAAGGCCCGTGCGTCTATGGGACAACCAGGAGGTCAAACAGAGCCCCAGAGAGAAAGCTGCCCCCCAGCCCGTCCTGGGACCCTTTTCTGGTACAGGAAGGGAGCTCTGTGTGGGCCTGTGTGTGTGGGGGCAGGTTCTGGGCTGGGAGGTTGGACATCCAGTGGCATGAGAAGGGGATCTTGTCATGGAGGACCCACCATGACCACTGACAGCACATCCAAGGCCAAACTTCAGCCCCTCTCGACCTGCCCAGCTGCTCTCCAGAACAAGGCCCTGAATCGTAGGGCTCAACTAGCTCTCTTCTCCAGCCTCCCCAACTCCACCAGACCAGCCTCCTGGCCTTCCCCCCCCGGAAAGCTAGTGCCCCCACTCAGGGACACCAGGCCAGCCCCCAGCCTGCCAGCTCTCACTGTGCCGCACTGGTTACCTGGAGATCAACTATTTGCCTATCAAATAAGGAGCACACTCCACCTACTTTTCAGTCACAGCCTTGCAAGATGCTCCCTGTCCTGCTCCCCCCACATCAGGCCCACCCTGTGGTCAGACAGGTCTCCACTGTCAACAACCCCCAATCCACCAGCCCTTCCCTACCTTCACACCTATTGATTCTGAAACATCCCCTTCTCTCTACCTGCCTCAGTTCAACCTGGCCAATACCACACCTCCTCCAGGAAGCCCTCCCGGCTGTCATCAAGGGATCCCTGTTGGAAACTCTTCCAAACTAAACTGCAAACTCCAAGCTCAATCACACAACCTGTCAGGCAGGTGCTCTGCTCCTGCCTGGATGTTTTTATTCATTCCCAGTTTTTCAAGCTGTAAGGAATACTTTTCTACCCAATAAGAATATATACGTGTATGTACATGGACACACACACACACCTAAAGCCAATTTCATGCCACAATACTCCTTACTACATAAAATGACATGATGCTCGGATACTTTCTCTTTTTTAGGTCTTGTTTTAAGATTTTATTATTCATGAGAGAGAGCATGCGAGCAGGGGGAAGAGCATAGGGAGAGGGACAAGCAGACTCCACACTGAGCGCCCAGCCTGACATGGGGTTCGATCTCAAGATCCCGAGATTACGACCTGAGCCAAAACCAAGAGTCAGACACTGAGCCAGGCAGGTGCCCCTCTATTTTAATTTTTACTGTTAATCTTGACGCAGCCTAGGGATCATAATCCACTGCTGGGGCTAGAGCTGCAATTGGAACAATGTTGCAGTAGCTAAGCCTCCGCCCACATTTACATTCACTCCTTCCCTCCCTCCCTCCTTCAGTGAATGTACTGAATACCTGCTGAGTTCCAGGCACAGCTGGGTTAGTTCCATCTTCCCTCCGAGAGGGGAGGGATGCGGGGCAGTCCTGCTTTATTCCACCACCTGAGGTCCAGCCCCTCCAAGCAGCGGGCATACCCCTTCATTTGCCGCTGCCCCTTGGTCTACCGTGCCACCCCAGCAGCTCACCCACAAGTGCAGCATCTTTGCCGCCTTTGGATGGAGGCTCCCATGCACCCCTCAGTCTCCAACTGGACCTCAGTAACCCCTCCTCTTGCTTCTTGCCATTGTCCTTGGGCAGCTCCTGCTGGACGGTGGGCTCGGAGAGGCTCCACTCCCCACCCTGGCCTGAGTGGCTGGGGTTGGGTCCCTCAGCCACAGGCCTCAACCCTGACCACCTGTGCTGTCCTGAGCAGTGGAACAGAGGTCCCAGAAACGGGACTATGTTTACAAAGCTGCAATGGAAACATTTTAAAAGCCCATGACTTTCATGTAGTCTTCAGGTGACAGTGCACTTCCATATAGGCCAGTAACAAAGACGGCGACAACAGTCAATGACCTCTTATCCAAACCTCCTGGGCAAAACCACCAGATAGGTTTTGCAATTCTGAAATTTTGGCATTTTGGAAAGGTTATACAATGCCTAAAGCATTATGTAACACATCAGTGGGCTCTGGGGCAGCCCCTTAATTAAACTTGTTCACATTTCTGTAGCAAGATGTCCGTATGTTCGCACTACACGGCAAGAATAGTGACCGTAAGTAGCTTCATAATAGTGGGCGTCAGGTCTTATTACCAAATACGTTCAGCTCAGACCAGATTTTGCTATCAAACGGGCTTTTGGTTTTCAGAGTTTTGTGCATTTTGTAATTGGGGAGGAGAAATTGTGGATCTGGAAAGATAAGAGCCCTTCATGGAGCACTTATCAGATGTCAGACTTGGAGCGAAGCGCTTTCCATGCATTTGCTCATCTGACCCTCACAGCCACCCCAGGAGGAAGCTACAGGGGCGCCCGCTTTGCAGAGAAGACTGGCTCAGAGTGGTCAAGGCATCCAATCAGGGTCCGGCTGTAAACCCAGGTATGGCTGCCCAAAGCTGCGCCCACCACCACCCTGTCCCCACACTGACTCGCAGGAACCGTGTGTAGCCAAGACCAAACCCACTTGACAAGTAAGGAAATAGAATGGGGACAGCAGAGGGAAGGGGACTTCAAGACCCATGCCCTTGTCTGGACCTGAAAACGGGCAACACTGACCTGGGCCCGTCTGGAGTCCCCACACACTGGGCCTCGTGCTGACATGGGTTCAAATCCGGGGAGCAGAAGTCCACCAGCTGCTCACAGGCCCTTCCTGGGGAAAGGAGGAGGAAGAAGGAGAGAACTTCCCCCAGGCTCTGCCAGGCAGCTGGCCCAGCAGAAACGTCCTGCAGACACTGAGGGCAGGCCCCGGCCCTTCCATCCCCGGGAACGGGGCTCAGGGCATGAGACCCCACCACACTTACCCGTATACTGCAGGGGACACCGGCAGCTATAGTTGCCCACGCCGTCCACACAGACACCCCCGTTGGCACAGGGGTGCTCCACGCAGTCGTCCGTATTCACCTCACAGGTGGGTCCTTCAAAGCCGGTGGGACAGGAGCACCTTGGCGGGGGGGCAGGTGAGGAGAGCAGGGCAGGTGGGCCCGGGCCAGGGCAGTGGCCTTCCTGAGGCACCGGTGGAAGCCCGTGCCCACCGGTGACTACCATCATCCCAGAGCTCTGGTCCCTTCTCCGGGCCAGGCCCTTGTTAGGTGCCGGGGTTAGAGTACATCAGACAGCCCTGCGCTCTGGGGGCTCACTCACAGTCTAGTTGGGGAGACAATGAGGAGACAGGCAACCAGACGAGAGTTGGGGAGTACCGGGATGGTGCCGCACGGAGGCTGGGGAGGGTGCACAGAGGCCGAGGACACTTAGCTCATACATCAGGGATGGGGCTAGAACAGGGCTGGGGGGGAAACAGGAGCCGGCTCGTGGAGGGTCCTGGAAAGCCATGGTCTTCCAGCCAACACACACCCTTCCCCAGGGGGCACTGGGGTCTTCCAAATGATAGGTGGGTCAGAGAGGTCTGAGAAATTAATTTCCAGATCTTTAAGCTCTGCACAAACGCTTCCCTGAACACACCTACCCAAGAGCTTCAGAAACGCGCACACACACCTCCCAACCTGAGTGTGAGCTGGGACGTGCCTGGAGCCCAAAACCCTCGGGCACCAAATAAAGGGACAATTAGGTCGAGGTTTCCAAAGTGACTGGACAAACGCTTTTGCAAGAGGTTCCAGTTCTGTGCATTAAAAATCACTGAAGGGCGAGCTCACGGGATGGTCAGCCGATCAAGCATTAAAAATAACTTTTGAGGACAGATCAATCTGGGGTTTTTGGCATATAAACTCGAAAGGGTTTCAAATAATTGAGTGACGTGCTACAATAAAACTTCTAATCCCAATGACTTATGTGCACAAACTTTCTCAGCGTTTCTAGCTGTATACATATTTTTAAAAAAGGAACATATTGGATGCTGAGCCTTCTCTCATTCTGTCATATTCACCCCGGAACACAGAAACCAGTTAGAAGAAAAGCACACACAAAGAGCTCCACCTAGCTCATTAAGAGTCTAGTAACATTTTACTTTCATGTATATAATAATTATCAGTAAAATTTGGTACTAGAGTTATGTTCTGATCAGTTGTATATTATTGACAATTGTAATAACACCTCCGCAAAAGAAACTTCATCAGAGGTTATGGTGACAAATAAATATCTATAAACTTACATGCCCACGTTGGTGGCAGAGAAGTATGGCAGCGGGCTCAAGAGCATACTCTAGCAACAGAACATAGACATTGGAAGAGAAATGGAGGTGGGGGTGAGAAGTAAAATGGAAATACTAGTTCGAGGAGAAAAAAAGGAGGTAAAATGTTTAAGCTATTAAACAGGAGCTTGTTGGTGTGGTTTGAAAAAATGGTATCAAATTGCTGTGCTATTCAGATTCCACTGGAAAATGATAAAAGTGAGCTAAAAAGTGGTTTTATTTTTAAATATTAATATTTACAATATCCTGGAAATTACCTCCTTTGCAATAAAAAGTTCAACTTACACTGAAAAATGCTAGCTGTCACTCTAAGAATGTGTGAGAGGGGATGTAGTTTAAAACACCTGTTTGGTGGGGGTATGTGAACAAAAAGGTATGAAGCACAGTTTCAGGGCCCACCCTCCAGCTGGGAGGGGGCTACCCCAGCTGCACCTGCCCTCCACCTAGCAGACGTTTCTGAGGGGTCCTCTCAGCCCCCCAAGCTCCACAGAACCACCCCCACCCCAGGAGTCTAGCAGAGGAGGGGCCTGGAGGGAGCTGCCGCCAAAGCCCAGAGGAGGACTGATGGACGGAGCCTGTTTTAAGGACGCTGTTTCCAAGGTGACGGCCTGTGAGAGGCTGTTTAGTGTTTTATTTTTTACATCTGGCAATCTGGGTTTGCAGAGACAGGTTTGGCTGTTCCTGCCAAGTAGATTCAACATCATTTTCCGAAGAGCGGATTTGTTCGGCTGGCAGTTTATTTTCAGCAATTAACTACTACATATTCCTTTGAAAAACTGGGTCCAGGAGAGCTCTGGGAAGGTGGGGGGCTCACCAAGGGGTCCTGGGGGAAATCAATGGGGGGGCTTACGTGGGAACGTCAGACAGGAGTCAGGAGGGCTGGCCCTTCACGGAGTCCAAGGTGGGGTGCACAACGGCTGCCCAGGTGTGACCAGTGTGACCCAGAGACCATGGGGGGGGCCCCAGATGGCGCACCTGGGACTTGCTCCCACCTCTGGGAAGGCCTCCCCACCAAGGAGCTGGCTAGGGGCCCTGCCTTCAGGGAGCATGGGCACAGCAAGCTGATTTTGACTTCCAGGCGGAGGCCTTGGGGGTTAGTGGAGATTAAGGGGGTGTAAAACACCCCCGAACTGCCCCTTAACACTGCCACCGCATAGGCCCTTGGCCATGGACTGCCAGGGCCATCAGAAGACCCTCCGGCCCCCGGCATGGGCAGGGAGAGGCCTGGGGCAGGACCGGGCAGCGCAGCTCCAAGCCCCAGCCCCACGGGCTGCTGTGAGACTCGGCAGGCCCCCATCTCTCGGGGCTATAGGGGACCGGCCTGCGTAGGCATGGAGGGGTCTCTAGGGAGTGCCTGCCCCTCCCCAGCGCAGCCCCACCTCGTCCTCCAACACGGGGAAGCCGGGGCCATCCCACTGGGAGGAGGGAGGCACCGAGGCTTGGCTGCTGGACCATCAGCACCCCGCCCACCAGGGTCCGGCCCCTCCAGGCAACTCACATGAACCCGGCATTCTCGCCCTCCTGCGAGCGGCAGGTCCCGCCGTGGCCACAGGGGCCGCTGGAACAGCTGTCCAGGGACACCTCGCAGTTTCGGCCCTGGGGGGCAAAGTGAGTGAGGACCTCAGAGAGACCCAGGGATTGCTGTGAGCCAACAGAGACAGCCAGCCCCCTCGGCAGCATGCCTCCCTGGCCCGGGAGCTGCCTCTCCTGCATTCGCTCACTCACATGCTGGGTCACTGAGTAAACATTCCCTCATGCGCCTGCCCTGTGCACCGTGGGCAAAGGGGTGAACAAGACAGCCCCCCGCGGGGCCCAGCCTCCACTCACCTTGTAGCCGCTGGAGCAGGCACACCTGTACACCTCAAGGGGGTCATTATGGCAGGTGCCCTGGTTCTGGCACGGGCTGGACAAGCAGGGATCACACTTGGCCTGGACAGCCAGGGCGGGGGGACCTGAGACAGGGGGCAGGTGTCAGGGCTGAGGAGGGCAGGACAGCCCTCAGGGAGAGTGGTAGAAGTCCTCTCCCCAAGGAGGTTTGCGCCCTCCCTGTTTTTCCTCTCGGTCACGTTCACACCCTCCTTTCTCAGCCCACCTCCCCAGCCTCCGGACCGGCCTCTATAAAGTGAGGTTAATCACAGCACCTGCCTCGGGGGCCATAAGGACTAAATAAGCTCATTGAGAAGCACTTAATGGGCGGGCGCTGGACACCCACAGAGCCCCCACGAGGTGGTCCGGGCAAAGTCCCCGGTGTGAGGGCAACACAATCACTATGACTGAAGTCGGCTCTGGCTCCCCACCCAGCCCCGTCACAATGAGCAGGCGACCACAGCCGGCCACCTCGGCAGGGAGGGGACACGGCTCTGGGAGGGCCCGTGCTTAGGTGGGAAAAGTCCATTTGCCTTCAAGTTGTTTCTCTCCGAGGCTGAACGGGGAAGGACCCTTTCCCGTCACCACAGGCGAGACCTCCTCCGGCCCCTCCAGGACTCACGGGTCCTCTTCCCTGAACCTGGAGGTGGGCTGGGAGGGGCATGAGGACCTCACGAGAATAAATAGAAAACCCAGCCGGTAAACTCAGGTTTCCACTCAGGCCTCCTTCTAGAAATGGAGAGATATCGGTCCTGCTGAAGAGGTGTGAGCATTAAGAGACACACTTTTCAGTAATAACTGGAAGGAAGCATGAGCGGATTTCCCGGGTACCGCTGGGATTCCGTTTCTTCATCTGGGTGCTAGTTCCCTGGTGTGTTCAGTCTGTGAAAATTCAGGGACCCCCTCTACTTATGATCTGTGTACCTTGCTGTTATGCATGTTATATTTCAACAACAAAAAAATTAATTTACCAATACCATCTACTAACCATTAAATACGGAGCCAATGTTCTGCTCCCAACAGCCGAGCCACAGGTCAGGCCCCCCTGAACGGTTACCCCATTGACAGCCTCCTTCATGCCAGGTGGCCATTAACCTCTGGCTGTCAGTTTCACTTCCGGTGGAGGTCTGTGAGCTTGCAGAGGGCAGGGGCTGGGCCCCCAGCCGGCCCTGGGGCAGCCCTCAGCCACCTCCCCTGGCTCAGTGGGGCTCCCGGGCCATCAGTCAATCAATCAACCTCTGAAGGAGTATTTACAGACGCCCCGCATGAGGCAGCTTCAGAGCAAAGCATGTCCGAGTCCCAGTCATGCTCAGGCCCCGTGTTTCAGCAAATGTCAGGAGAGTGGCCGCGGGGTCCAGGGGCTCGGGGTGGAAGCTCATTGCGGCGCACGATTCCTACCAAAGGGAGGCCCGAGCACTCCTGCTGCTGAGAGGCTGGGAGCTTCCAGAAACACTGCTGCTATTTTTATTTTCCTTACGTAACCCCAGGGAGGGATTAAGGCTCTCACCGCCCGGAGATGTTCTGCCTGGCTTTTCTCATTCGCTGTACGCCAGGACCAGAAGGGAGCATGCTAACAAGCAGCAGGTGCTTCATTCCTGCCACCTGACCCCCGACTCAGCCAGTCACCACGGGGACACAGAGGCCCCTGGAAGGCCCTGCCAGGATTAGGTGGGTCCCGTGGGCCCCCAGCAGCAGGTGGTGGGGACGCAACCCTGTACCTACCACCCCCGCCCCCAGCCCCCGTGCTCATGCTCCTGGGCTCACCTTGGCATTCAAACTTCTTGGCAGGCGTGGTGAGGAGCAGCTTGCCCTCCATGTCCGGGGGCCCCGCACAGCGGGCAATGCCCGGTTCCTTATAGCCGGTCTTCACCCAGCCAGAGAGCCAGCGGAGGCGGCAGTCGCAGTACAGAGGGTTGGCCCCGATGGCCCTGCATCAGAGAGCAGAGGGCAGCAGTCTTCCGTAATGGGGTCCTTCGCCCACTAGGCACTGAGCTTGCCGGGCCCTCAGCCAGGGGCGGGCAGAAATCCTACCAGCCCCCATGACGTGAGTCTCTACGGCGCAGCCGGCGCTGTTCCAACACTTCCTATGTGTTCTCTCGCTCTCTTTCTTTTAAAGATTTCATTTATTTGACAGAAAGAGAGCACAAGCAGGGGGAGTGGGGGAGGGAGAAGCAGGCTTCCCGCGGAGCAGGGAGCCCGATGCGGGGCTCGATCCCAGGACCCTGGGACCATGACCTGAG